GCGAGGCGGGGAAGGCCGAGCGGAGGGCAGGAGCGGCGGCCGGGGCGGGGGGATGGAAGGCAGCGAGGGAGGCTCGGAGCGCAAGGTGTGCGCGCAGTTCGATTCCGATTGGCAAAGGAGAGCGGGGCCGCAGAGGGAGCAGCCAGAACTTTGTGTGTGCGCGCGTGCCGGGGCGGGGTGGGGGGAACCGACTAGAGAGGGAGCACCGGCTAGTGGTGTCTCGCCCATCCCGCACCTGGCTGGCACTCCCCAAGACCGGGGTGGAATGAAGGAAGGAAGGAAGGAAGGAGTGGGCGCACGCCGTCCTCGCAGTGAGGCGTGAAGTCCATTTGAGGCCAGGGATGCAGAACCCATTCCGTGCGCGCTTAAGAAATGCAGCACCCGGTGGTCGCCGGGTTCCTGCGGGAATCGGGTTTCCACGCTGTCCTCACGTCTAAGGTCCTGAGAGCCTCCCCCTCCGTTACCTACTGTCTCACTGTCCCGGTCCCAGGCCTCTGCTGTCCCCATCACTCTCTCTGATCAGGGCTTCAATTAAACATTCTCCAAACTCTCCCTAGCCTGGAGCCTCTCCAGATTCGCTTCTGCTCCCTCCTGGGTTCTTCATAGGATGCCCTGCCATCGCCTCCAACTTAAGAAGACTTGAGTCTCCTCTTAGTGTTTTTAAAACTGTGGGTCGTGACACATTAATTGGTCATAAAATAAATACAGTGGATGGCAACTGGCTTTTTAAAAAAAAAAAAGAAAATATTAGGATCCATTGCCCTTCATAAGGGTGACTATCGTTTCATAAACTTTTGTTTCAGTTCTATATACTGGACAACTGTCCTGGACCATGATGTAAGTTGTATTTCCTACTGTGGGTCGTACGTCAAAAAAAGTTTAAAATCTATACTTTCGGGGTGTAAAATAATGATTTATAACACTGTACAACTTTCTTAAAAACAAACCCATTATTTTCTCACTACCTCTTCTCCTTCCCAACCTCCATACCCCATGACCCTTCCCCTCCCCAAGAAAAAGACAAGCCCTTTCATGCACTTAATAGTTTTGTCCCTTTCATGCACTTAATAGTTTTGTAAGTGGCTCATCATTTCCTCTTCATCTCAGGATGACCTTGGCCTCTGCCATCTTCCTTGCCCCCATATTCAATGCTACACTTCCTACTGCTTCTCTGAGCCTAATGTCATTCACATTTGCAGAATCCTAGCTTGCTGTTGCTCAAAGGGGCCTCAGAGATCGTCGGGGCCAGCCCTGCTTAGAATTGAAAAACTGAGGCCCAGAGATGTGAGGTATATTGCTCAATGCCACACAGTATTAACTTTTAGGGTAATGTCTCTTGGCTACCACTCTGGTGTTCTTTGCTTCACACCATTCATTCATCCCTTCCTTTCCATCCCCCCTACCATCCTTCACTGGGCTCTGCCCGGTTCATCCTAAACACTGCCAACTTCATAACACACAGTTCTGACCATGCCAGGCTCCTGCCAACATCCTTCAAGGACTCAACGTCTGCATGTAGGGCTGAGTTTCCTAGCTCCTTGGCTCTTAATCAAGGCAGGCAGGCCCTGACTTACCTTTCCAAGCCCATGAGTTCAGCAAGTCACTCCCTCTCCAGCCAGACTGGTCTACTTGTGGTCCTCCGCCAGCCTTGCCCATCTGTGCCTTTGTGTCTTTGCCCAAGCTTCCCCTTTCCCACCAAGACTGCCTTCTCCATCTTCTCTCTTTAACCAGATTCCACCTGTGCCTGGCTCATTTCCTCCACAAAATAGCCTGAGGTAGCATGAGAGTAAGACAGACGTGGGTTCAGATCCCAGCTCTTCCGCTTAGTAGCTGTGTGAACTTGGTCAAATTGCTTCACCTCTCTGAGCTTCAGTTTCTGCAACTCGATTATTATAAAAATAGTAATAAAAATAGTAATGTTCTTCCCTTGCACCTACAAGTCTCTATCATGACCTTTACCTTATTGGTATATAATCGCCTATTGTCTCTCTACCCCTTTCCAGTGCTGCCCAATAGAACTTTCTGCAATGATGGAAATGTAGCCATTTGTGGCTGTAGAGCACATGAACTGTGGCTAATGTGACTGAGGAACTGAATCTTTCATTTTAATTAATTTTAATAGCCACATGTGGCTGGTGGCTACCATACTGGACAGAGCATCCCTAAACTGCAGCTCCACAAGGGCAGAAACCATGTGATCTTGCTTGACATTGTATTCCCGGCAATGAGCACGTACCTGGCGCCTGGCAGGTACTGCACCAATATTTGTTGAATGAATGATAGCTGCCATTTATTGCGTGCTCACTTGTGCCAAGCATGACACTAAGAACTTGATGTCAGATATTTTGTATAGTCCTCACCACAGCCCCTAGGTGGGATTACATTAGAGATAGAGTTTGTACAGGGTGCTGGCAGATAGTAGAGGTTCAATAAAAGGTGGTTATTATTATTAGCAAAACCTCCCTGTGACCAATCCAACTGATTTTTGTCTCCTCTTCCTCTAGGCTTACAGAACAGTTCCTGCCTGTCACACACACTCTGTTGTCCCATGGCACACCCCGCCGGAGATGGCTGACTCTCCTCTTCTATATAGCTGTCCTGTCCCCACAACTGGGTTGGTAGCGTCCTAGGGCAGGGTCCATGACATGTTTGGATGTCCCGGCTCTGGCTTCCACTGATTAGTGCTTAGGAATGGCCTCTAACTCCAACTCACGTGCTGTCTGAGTGATTCTTGGCAGTCTCACTCCCTGGAATACTGCTCTGTCCTCCCCAAATTCATATGTTGAAGTCCTAACCCCCAGCACCTCAGAATGTGACTGTGTTTGGAGGTAGGGTCTTTAAAGAGGTAATTAGGTTAAAATGAGGTCAGTCAGGTGGGCCCCAATCCAATATAACTGGTGTCCTTATAAGAAGAGATTAGGACACAGAGACACACAGATTGAAGACAATTTAAAGACATAGGGGGCCGGCCCTGTGGCTTACTGGTTAAGTGCGTGCTCTCTGATGCTGGCGGCCCGGGTTCGGATCCCGGGCGCACACCGACGCACCGCTTCTCTGGCTATGCTGAGGCCGCGTCCCACATACGGCAACTAGAAAGCTGTGCAACTATGACATACAACTATCTACTGGGGCTTTGGGGTGAAAATAAATAAATAAATCTTTTAAAAAAGACATAGGGAGAAGGTGGCCACCTGCAAGCCAAGGAGAGAGGCCTCAGGAGAAACCAACCCTGCCGATGCCTTGATCTCAGACTTCTAGCCTCCAGAATTGTGAGGAAATAAATGTTGGTTGTTAAAGCCACATGGTCTGTGGTACTTTATTATTAGTCAGCCCTAGCACACTAATATACCCCCACAGAATGTGAATTAAAATGAAGAAAGATCACTAGTGTGAACTGAAAACACCCTGAGGGTGGTCTCCTTCTCTTGGGAAGAAACCGTCTCAGGCATGGAAATGGAGTCCCATGACAGGAGGACAAGATGGAGCCAAAGAGATAAGACCCCCTGCCCCTTCAGACCACCATGACTGAAGTGATATCTATGTGATGCCCAGCTTCAGTAAGAAACCTTCAGTTGAGCTAGCACACTTGGCATCATATAGATGGAAAAATGTTATTTAAATGAATTTAGTTTTCTCTTCATGAATTGGTAGATTGAGTACACCTATTTGTCTCCATTCCCTCCAGTGACTGCAGTCAAGTGGGAGCAGGATATAAGCCTAACTGTGGAATGCCATCAAAGGAGAGCGTGAGAGCAGGAAGGGAGAGCATCTGAGACAGAGCCCCGAGGAGCACCAGCATTTGAAGTACAGGAAGAGGAAAAAGGACTCCTTGTGGAGGAGAGGGCAGGGAAAGAGGAGGACAACCAGGATGGACTGTACCTGGACGTCCCAGGGCAAACACCACTGCAAAAGGAGGTGTGATCAGCAGTGCTGCGTGCCAATGAGAGGTCACATAAACACGAGCGGGAGGCAGCCAGGGAGGCAGCCATTGGATTTAGCAACAAGAGTTACATTAGTGACTTTGGAGACTAGTTATGAGCAAAACGTAGGGTTCTTAAATTCAGCCTGAAAAGAATGTGTAGTGTTGCGATAGCTGGAGGTGGGGGTGAGGAGAATTAGGGAGTTGCCAAAAGAGGGCGCTAGAGAGTGAGTGTTCCAGGTAGAGACGCGCGACTGGTCACCGGGTGAGACAATGAGATGGGTCCACCAGCTCTCACATTTGCCTAGATTAGTATGCATCGTATTTTACTTATTTAAGAAACACATTAGCACTTAGATGGTGTTCTAAGAGGTTTACAAGTGTTAGCTCATGTAATAAATCCGATTCTGTGCACTACCTGGAATTCTAGGTTGCCAAAAGACCATTTAACTTCGCTGTTGTATGAGAAACATCACAAAGGCAAGAGAGCTGGAAAGGAATTAGTCACCATCTACGCCAGGTACCTCCTCTTAATTTGCCTTTCTACAAAATGGCCCAAGTAAGATCTTTCTCAGGGGTTAGTAGAGTAAACACGGGGGAGTTTTGACCTCATTTCAAGTTCATTTTGCTTACAGGACAAGTGACAAAGGGTCTTTTCTTCATTTATGCCTATAGTTGT